CGGGCCACCCTGCCTTGGTGGGAATCGGCCAGTGTGTTAATAAAAAAATATAATAATAATATCTTGTAACAATGATAATAACTTGAAATAATAACAACAACTTGTAATAATAATAATTTGCAATGACTCACGAAATCGTAATGACACGATTGCAAACAAACCATACCCCTGCCGGGATTGAACCCGCGGTCAGAGAGTCTCAAAACTCCAGCCCGTCGCGTTAGCCACTAGACCAGCTAGCCACAAGAAGGTTCGTCCAGCTAGGTATATTTCTACACCATAGGAAGGTTAGCACAGGCACCACTGTGACCACAAATGCAAGTTTTTACAGACGAATCTCCAGCTAGCGTGGCCGTGACGAACTCTAGCTCAAGTCCCTTCACTGCCGTCAACATGACTCACGAAATCGTAATGACACGATTGCAAACAAACCATACCCCAGCCGGGGTATGCAGTAATAATAATAATTTGTCAGAGCATCATTTCTTCTAAAAATTACATGAGAATTAAAGTGTTGGTCTTTATTTATTCTACTGTATCAGCGTGGAGACAACTTGTACACAATGTAAAGTGTTTGTATTATGGTATCATACAAACATGTATGAGCGAACACCAGACGTGTTTGCCTGGTATGTTTACATTACATGTGGGTAGGGTGGGGTGGGGAGGGCTGCCTTGGCTGGCTACCATACCTCCTAGACCTGACTTCCTACAAATAAAACTCATCTCTCACCCTACATTAAGACTAAAAATATGTGAAGGTAATTAATGAATGTACATACTGTATATGTATTTTATCGCTCTGGGGTGCTTTAATTAAATGTTGCAGCATATTAACCACTGTATTTTTTTGTACTTCAATGTATCATGTTCAAATTAATAAATAAATAAATAAAAAATTACATGTGGGTGGGGTGGGCTGACCTGGCTGGCTACCATACCTCCCAAACCTGACTTCCTACAAATAAAACTCACCTCTCACCCTACATTAAGACTACAAATATTTTAACCCTTTCAGGGTTAGTACCATACTAGTATGGCTTGCACGCCTGGGTTGGTGCCGTACTAGTACGCATAAACTCTAGTGCCTTCAAATCTAGCAAGAGAAAGCTGGTAGGCCTACATATGAAAGAATGGGTCTGTTTGGTCAGTGTGTGTAGTATAAAAAAAATCCTGCAGCACAGTGCATATTGAGAAAAAAACTTGGACTGTGTTTTTGGTTTAAAATGGCAACTTTGCACTGCATTTTTGTACTGTATTTATGGTTGTATCCTCATTTTCTTGGTGTCACTTGATAGAATGGAAGATATATCACAGGAATAGAGATGATTTTGATTGGTTTCACAATGAAAAATACCTTGAAATTGAGCTCAAAGTAGCAGAAATGTTAAATTTTTGCTAAAGTTCTGAAGTAGACAAATCATGCCACACGTCCAATACACATCAACTGGCAAGTCTAATATTCTTTCCCAAGTGCACTGATATTGTTTATACCATTTCTACACTAATACAGTAGTCTGCATAACGGTATATCTTCTATTTATTTGTGAGAATAAAAATTCAAAGAGGAAAGCAAAATAAATGTAAGAGGGGCCTGAGGACGTGACTAATGAACAGAGGAAATGTTATTTTTGTGCCAGGAATGTCTGTCTCTTGTTTATTTTGGACCCTATTTGGAAATTGGCATATTTTGAAATTTGTGTGAAATTGGCAAAATTGCCAATTTCTGACCACTTTGTTGGATAGTTGAAATCGATAAATGGGTGGTTTCTTATACTAATTTGATAGAAAAAATGGAGTTCTAGCGAAATAGTTATGATTTTTTCGACTGGAGCATTGGAATTGGCTGAAAATAGGGCTCAAAGTTAGCAAAATTGCCGATGCGTAAACATCGCCGAGACTGCTAACTTTGCAAGAGCATAATTCCATAGGTTTTCCATCAAATTTCATACTTTTGGTGTCATTATGATCAGGAAAAGATTCTCTATCATTTCATAAGAAAAAAATTACTTTTTTTTCGATAAATCTCCGACCCTGAGAACAAGTTTTGGAGAGGGCCTGCCGACCCTGAAAGGGTTAAGGTAAGTAATGGGTGTACTGTGTGTGTATTATACTTTTTGTTTTTAATGCCTAGTTCTATTGCTAACCTAATATATGTTAGTGTAAACTTGTCATCTGGCATTTATATGCATTTATAAGTGGAAAAAAATGGCATTCTGCTTTCCATCAGTGGCCTGGAACCTAACCTGCCTTATAAGTGGGGCCCTACTATACTACTGTAAAAGCATGTTGTATCTCGTATCTTAATTTTATTTCTAATTTTGTATATTAGGATTGTTGGCGAGTTAATATTGAAAAAAAATTTTAAGAGTATTAGCCTTAATATTTTTCTCAAATTTAAGGTTTGAGAAAACCACTAGAAAATAAAGTTTTGAGAGGAAATAAGTGTGTCAGTAAAGATCAAGACGTTCAGTTTGAAAAGATATTTTTATATAGCCGGACTTGAGTACTGGAAATGGGAAGTACAATGCCTGCATTTTAACCCTTTGGGGGTCGCCAGGCCCTCTCTGAGACTTGTCCTCAGGGTCGCCAAAATTTAAAAAAAAAAAAAAAAATTCTTATGAAAATATAGAGAATCATTTCCCGATCATAATGACACCAAAAGTATGAAATTTGATGGAAAACTTACTGAATTATGCTCTCACGAAGTTAGTGGTCTCAACAATGTTTACGCATCGGCGATTTTGCCCACTTTGAGCCCTATTTTTGGCCAATTTCAGTGTACTAGTCAACAAAAATCATAACTATTTCGCTAGAACTCGTTTTTTCTATCGAATGAGTACAAGAAACCACCCATTTACCGATTTCAACTATCCAATAAAGTGGTCAGAATTCAGCAATTTTGCCAATTTCACACAAATTTTAAAAGATGCCAATTTCCAGATAGGGTCCAGAAGAAACAAGAAAGACATTCCTGGCACTAAAATAACATTTCCTCTGTTCATTAGTCATGTCCCCAGACCCTCTTACATTTCTTTTGCTTTACACTTAGATTTTTTATTCTCACAAAAAAAAATAAGATTTATTGTTATGCAGACTACTGCATTAGTGTAGAAATGGTATAAATAATATTGGCGCACTTGTGAAAGAATATTAGACTCGCCAGTTGACGTGTATTGGACGCTTAGCATGATTTGTTTACTTTTGAACTTCGGTAAAAATCGAACATTTCTGCTACTTTGAGGTCAATTTCAAGGTACTTTTCATTGTAAAACCAGTCAAAATCATCTCAATTTCTGTAATATGTCTTCCATTCTATACAATGAGACCAGGAAAACTAGAATACAACAACTAAATACCATGTGAAAATACAGTGCAAAGTCGCTGTTTTAAACCAAAAACAGTCAGTTTTTTTTTCTCATTACGCACTGTGCTGCAGGATTTTTTTTTATACTGCGCACACTGACCCAACTAGACCCCCTGGTGCATTAGCCGTACTAGCACGGCCGAAACCCCCAAAGGGTTAAAGGAGGGGTTTGGGATATTGACAGTTTGGAAGGGTATGTTACATATCTTTAGATATGCTTCTAAACTGTTGTATTCTGAGCACCTCTGCAAAGACAGTGATTATGTGTGAGTGAGTGAAAGTGTTGAATGATGAAAGTACGTATTTTCTTTTTTCGGATTTTTTTCTTTTTGTGTCACCCTGCCTCGGTGGGAGACGGCCGACTTGTCGAAAAAAAAAAATTCTGACTGCATAAAAGTAACGAATGTGAAATTTAAAGATTTAACAATTTTTTCTTGCTCATAATTTGAGTACACTTCATATTATTTTATTCCTTGAAATGCTCCTCAGAGTGTTAAACTCCTTGCCCATCTTTGATGACCCAGGCTGCTTAGTTTACAAGCAGTGAGCAGTGAATTGACACGTGTTAACTGTATTCCCATAACCATGACTATGCAATAATGTCTGATGAGATGTGTAATCTACTTCATTGTGATAAAGAAAATAGTAGCATAAGTGTTTCTGACAGCAGTGTACAGACAGTAATGGGATTGTAAATTGCTATTGTTCATTAAGGACAAAGAAAATGTTATCTAGGCTCGCAGTAAGTAGAATTGGTATGAAATATATAATTCAGAGAGTAGGGGTGTGGTTGTTAAAATGTTTTGGTCATTGAAAAAGGATGGAGCAGGATAGGTTGACCAACAGGGTTTATGGATCTGGAGTGGAAGGTAGTGTAAGGGATGCTCCCTGGGAAGCTTGGAGGGAAGGACACTTTGACAGATGCTTGAGTATCCAGCAGTCATGTATGAGCATGTTAGACTGGAATGATTGTAAGCAAGTGATTTTTGGAATTGTTGGAGGATGAGTAAGTTATCATTTATGAAGCAATTCAGGGAGAAATTGGTTTGATTTGAGTTTTTGAGGCAGAAAGTGCAGTGTCTGCACTTTAAGCATGGGTGGGAAAGTTGCAGTGGGAAGAGTTGTTTAAACTCTACTGTCCTTGTACTTCTAGCAGTACATCTGTTGATTGAGTAATGGTGAATGTGTTCCCTTCTTTGGGTCATCCCTGCCTTGGTAGGAAATTACCAATATGGTGAAAAGAAGAAAGCAAAAAAGAAAAATAGAATGCTAATTTGTTAATTGAGGATAATAAGCAACTGAAAATTCTGAGAAAGTAACTACAAAGAGCGAGAGAGAATGTGAGGAGGGCCTAGACAGTGGAAAATTTTGTAGTGTAAGATTTCTTTGTGAAGTAATACTGTACTTACCTCAGCTTATGTACAATATAACACTACATAGCATTATTATTATTTACCTCATCTCCTGTATATAGCTTTACATTATTTCTTATGGTACATCAACTCTCATAGCTGTACCTACTTATAACTATCATCATTTTATATATATCAGTACCTTTCATTAATGTCTCCAGTTATAACTAATAGAGGTAGTTATAATTTTACTGTAATTCATTTATTGTTTTCTTGAACAGGTATGGTGTCTGCACAGTTAGTGCAGAAGATTGCTCTCACTCGAGGTGATTGGTCAGTGACAGGCAATGGCTTGTGGGTTGATGAGTCTCGAGGCTTAGTGTACTTCACAGGGCTGCGTGACTCTCCTCTGGAACAGCACCTTTATGTTACATCAGTATCACATTCGGGGCTCATTCAGCGACTAACGGAACCGGGGTTCTCACACCATGTGGCATTAAATGAGGTGAGAATTTCTCTATAATAATTTAGTTTGTAAATTTGCAGGCATTAGCTTGAATTAACTTTGTTTTAAAAATTATGAATGCTCAAAAGTCACTATACTACAAGTATACTGGCATTAATTAGGTGGGGATGTATATATGAGGAGGCTTTGTGTGGAAGGGGCTTGGATGTCCATCAGGCATGTGTGAGAATGTTAGATAAGAGTAGATAGAAGCAAATGGTTTCTGAGCTGTTGGAATGTGAGCAAGGTAACATTTCATGAAGGGATTCTAGAAAACTGGTTAGCCAGAGTTCAGTCCTGGAAGTGGGAATTGAAGTGCCTGCACTCTGAAGGAGGGGTGCACTTTACTTAGGGGGGAAGGACATCTGAACTGTGGTATTGGCATTTCTCTGGCAAGATAGTGATAGTGAATGATGGTAAAAGTGTTTCTTTTTTTGGTCACCCTACCTTTGTGGGAGATGGTCAATTTGTTAAATAATTAATAAATGTATATAAGAGTTGGTAGACAGCAGTCGCTCAGGGAGGTACTACCGTCCTGCCAAGCGAGTGTAAAACGAAAGCCTGTAATTGTTTTACATTATGGTGGGGTTGCTGATGTCTTCTTTTTCTGTCTCATAAACATGCAAGATTTCAGGTACGTCTTGCTACTTCTACTTACACATACATGTACAAGCATATATATATACACACACCCCTGTGGGTTTTCTGCTATTTTCTTTCTAGTTCTTGTTTATTTCCTCTTATCTCCATGGGGAAGTGGAACAGAATTCTTCCTTCGTAAGCCATGCGTGTTGTAAGAGGTGACTAAAATGCCAGGGGCAAGGGGCTAGTAACCCCTTCTCCTGTATAAATTACTAAATTTAAAAAGAGAAACTTTTGATTTTCTTTTTAGTTCACCCTGCCTCAATGGGATATGGCTGGTTTGTTGAAAGAAGAAGAAACATGCAAAATCTCAGTTATGTCTTGCTACTTACACTTAGGTCACACTGCACATGCATGTACAAGCATATGTATACACACCCCTCTGGGTTTTCTTCTATTTTCTTGTTAGTGTTAGTGTTTATTTCCTCTTACTTCCATGGGGAAGTGGAACAGAATTCTTCCTCTGTAAGCCATGCATGTTGTAAGAGGTCACTAAAATGCCAGGAGCAAGGGGCTGGCAACTCCTCCTCCTGTATGTATTACTAAATTTAAAAGGAGAAACTTTTTTTTTTTTCTTTTTAGTTCACCCTGACTCAGTGGGATATGGCCAGTTTGTTGAAAGATGATGATGTGTGAGAGTGAATTACACCCAGAAAAATACTAGAATGTCCTAATGTCGATTAGCACTTATCTACAGTAGTCAGTATTGGAGATGAGTATGTAGCAATTGTTTGTTTTACAACATTGGCTGGCCCCCAACTAAAGTAGTGTGACCCAAAGAAGGAAACTTATTTACCATCATCAAGTTTTTATATTTTATTTAATCAGTTTTATTTACAGTACTATTTCATAAAAAATATTGTCCATGGTTTTTGGGCAGGATTTTACCTTATTACAATTAACGTAATAAGACTTTTAAATGAAAGATTTTAATATTTGAAGCCTTTTTCACTGTAGGACTGCAGTGTGTTTACAACAGTGTTCAGTAGTGTGGAGACGCCATCACAGAGCCAAGTGCTGAAGATAACACCACAAGAATCCCCTAACAGCGGAAATTTAGTGTGGGTCTCTGTATTGGGTGACCTTGTAAATGAAACGTGTAAGTATTTTTTCTTATTTCTTCTTCTCCCTAGCTTTTAAACTGTTTTGGTGTTCTGTAAATGTTTAATTTTGCAATAGAGCACCAATCAAGAATAATCCTTTATTACATTTTGCTCAGCGAAGAGCTGCATCCAGGCACTCGTCACTCGTGAATACATAATTTTCAGCAGCATCCAGACGCACTTCTTTCAACAAACTGGCCGTATCCCACTGAGGCAGGGTGACCCAAAAAGAAAAATAAGTTTCGCTTTTTAACTTTAGTAATGTATACAGGAGAAGGGGTTACTAGTCTCTTGCTCCCGGCTTTTTAGTCGCCTCTTACGACACGCATGGCTTATGGAGGAAGAATTCTGTTCCGCTTCCCCATGGAGATAAGAGGAAATAAACAAGAAATAGTAAGAAAATAGAAGAAAACCCAGATGGGTGTGTATATATATGCTTGTACATGTATGTGTAGTGTGACCTAAATGTAATTAAAAGTAGCAAGACGTACTTGAAATCTTGCATGTTTATGAGAGAGAAAAAAGACACCAGCAATCCTACCATCATGTAAAATAATTTTTTTTTAAACAAGTCGGCTATCTCCCACCGAGGCAGGGTGACCCAAAAAAGAAAGAAAATCCCCAAAAAGAAAATACTTTCATCATCATTCAACACTTTCACCTCACTCACACATAATCACTGTTTTTGCAGAGGTGCCTAGAACACAACAGTTTAGAAGCATATACCTATAAAGATACACAACATATCTCTCCAAACTGCTAATATCCCAAACCCCTCCTTTAGAGTGCAGGCATTGTACTTCTCATTTCCAGGACTCAAGTCCGGCTATATAAAAATAACTGGTTTCCCTGAATCCCTTCACTAAATATTACCCTGCTCACACTCCAACAGATCGTCAGGTCCCAAATACCATTCGTCTCCATCCACTCCTATCTAACATGCTCACGCACACTTGCTGGAAGTCCAAGCCCCTCGCCCACAAAACCTCCTTTATCCCCTCCCTCCAACCTTTTCAAGGACAACCCCTACCCCGCCTTCCTTCCCCTACAGATTTATACACTCTCCATGTCATTCTACTTTGATCCATTCTCTCTAAATGACCAAACCACCCCAACAACCCCTCTTCTCCTAGTTTCCACACTCCGAATTTTCTGCATAATATTTACACCACACATTGCCCTTAGACAGGACATCTCCACTGCCTCCAACCGCCTCCTCGCTGCTGCATTCACAACCCAAGCATCACACCCATGTAAGAGTGTTGGTACTATTATATTTTCATACATTCCCTTCTTTGCCTCCATAGAAAACGTTTTTTGTCTCCACATATACCTCAATGCACCACTCGCCTTTTTTCCCTCATCAGTTCTGTGATTAACCTCATCCTTCATAAATCCATCCGGTGAGACTTCAACTCCCAAGTATCTGAAAACATTCATTTCTTCCATACTACTACTCCCCAATTTGATATTCAATTTTTCTTTATCTAAATCATTTGATACTCTCATCACCTTAGTCTTTTCTATGTTCACTTTCAACTTTCTGCCTTCACACACACACCCAAACTCATCCACTAACCTTTGCAATTTTTCTTTAGAATCTCCCATCAGCACAGTATCGTCAGCAAAAAGCAACTGTGTCAATTCCCATTTTGTATTTGATTCCCAATAATTTAATCCCACCCCTCTCCCGAACACCCTAGCATTTACTTCTTTTACAACCCCATCTATAAATATATTAAACAACCATGGTGACATTACACATCCCTGTCTAAGACCTACTTTTACCAGGAAGTAGTCTCCCTCTCTTCTACACACCCTAACCTGAGCCTCACTATCCTCATAAAAACTCTTTACAGCATTTAGTAACTTACCACGTATTCCATATACTTGCAACATCTGCCACATTGCTCTTCTATCCACTCTATCATATTTTTTTTTTTTTTTTTTTTTTCAACAAGTCGGCCGTCTCCCACCGAGGCAGGGTGACCCAAAAAAGAAAGAAAATCCCCAAAAAGAAAATACTTTCATCATCATTCAACACTTTCACCACACTCGCACATTATCACTGTTTTTGCATAGGTGCTCAGAATACAACAGTCTAGAAGCATACACATATAAAGATACACAACATATCCCTCCAAACTGCCAATATCCCAAACCCCTCCTTTAAAGTGCAGGCATTGTACTTCCCATTTCCAGGACTCAAGTCCAACTATATGAAAATAACCGGTTTCCCTGAATCCCTTCACTAAATATTACCCTGCTCACACTCCAACAGATCGTCAGGTCCCAAATACCATTCGTCTCCATTCACTCCTATCTAACACGCTCACGCACGCTTGCTGGAAGTCCAAGCCCCTTACCCACAAAACCTCCTTTACCCCCTCTCTCCAACCCTTTCGAGGACGACCCCTACCCCGCCTTCCTTCCCCTATAGATTTATATGCTTTCCATGTCATTCTACTTTGATCCATTCTCTCTAAATGACCAAACCACCTCAACAACCCCTCTTCTGCCCTCTGACTAATACTTTTATTAACTCCACACATTCTCCTAATTTCCACACTCCGAATTTTCTGCATAATATTTACACCACACATTGCCCTTAAACAGGACATCTCCACTGCCTCCAACCGTCTCCTCGCTGCTGCATTTACCACCCAAGCTTCACACCCATATAAGAGTGTTGGTACTACTATACTTTCATACATTCCCTTCTTTGCCTCCATAGATAACGTTTTTTGACTCCACATATACCTCAACGCACCACTCACCTTTTTTCCCTCATCAATTCTATGATTAACATCATCCTTCATAAATCCATCCGCCGACACGTCAACTCCCAAGTATCTGAAAACATTCACTTCTTCCATACTCCTCCTCCCCAATTTGATATCCAATTTTTCTTTATCTAAATCATTTGACACCCTCATCACCTTACTCTTTTCTATGTTCACTTTCAACTTTCTACCTTTACACACATTCCCAAACTCATCCACTAACCTTTGCAATTTTTCTTTAGAATCTCCCATAAGCACAGTATCATCAGCAAAAAGTAACTGTGTCAATTCCCATTTTGAATTTGATTCCCCATAATTTAATCCCACCCCTCTCCCAAACACCCTAGCATTTACTTCCTTTACAACCCCATCTATAAACATATTAAACAACCATGGTGACATTACACATCCCTGTCTAAGACCTACTTTTACCGGGAAGTAGTCTCCCTCTCTTCTACACACCCTAACCTGAGCCTCACTATCCTCATAAAAACTCTTTACAGCATTTAATAACTTACCACCTATTCCATATACTTGCAACATCTGCCACATTGCTCCTCTATCCACTCTATCATATGCCTTTTCTAAATCCATAAATGCAATAAAAACTTCCCTATCTTTATCTAAATACTGTTCACATATATGCTTCAATGTAAACACCTGATCTACACATCCCCTACCCACTCTAAAACCTCCTTGCTCATCCGCAATCCTACATTCTGTCTTACCTCTAATTCTTTCAATTATAACCCTACCGTACACTTTTCCTGGTATACTCAGTAAGCTTATTCCTCTATAATTTTTACAGTCTCTTTTGTCCCCTTTCCCTTTATATAAAGGGACTATACATGCTCTCTGCCAATCCCTAGGTACCTTCCCCTCTTTCATACATTTATTAAACAAAAGTACCAACCACTCCAACACTATATCCCCCCTGCTTTTAACATTTCTGTCATGATCCCATCAGTTCCAGCTGCTTTACCCCCTTTCATTTTACGTAATGCCTCACGTACCTCCCCCACACTTACATTCTGCTCTTCTTCACTCCTAAAAGATGGTATACCTCCCTGACCAGTGCATGAAATTACTGCCTCTGCTTCTTCCTTAACATTTAAAAGTTCCTCAAAATATTCTCGCCATCTACCTAATACCTCCATCTCCCCATCTACTAACTCCCCTACTCTGTTTTTAACTGACAAATCCATATTTTCCCTAGGCTTTCTTAACTTGTTTAACTCACTCCAAAATTTTTTCTTATTTTCATTAAAATTTCTTGACAGTGCCTCTCCCACTCTATCATCTGCTCTCCTTTTGCACTCTCTCACCACTCTCTTTACCTTTCTTTTACTCTCCATATACTCTGCTCTTCTTATAACACTTCTGCTTTGTAAAAACCTCTCATAAGCTACCTTTTTCTCTTTTATCACACCCTTTACTTCATCATTCCACCAATCACTCCTCTTTCCTCCTGCCCCCACCCTCCTATAACCACAAACTTCTGCCCCACATTCTAATACTGCATTTTTAAAACTATTCCAACCCTCTTCAACCCCCCCACTACTCATCTTTGCACTAGCCCACCTTTCTGCCAATAGTCGCTTATATCTCACCCGAACTTCCTCCTCCCTTAGTTTATACACTTTCACCTCCCTCTTACTTGTTGTTGCCACCTTCCTCTTTTCCCATCTACCTCTTACTCTTAACTGTAGCTACAACTAAATAATGATCCGATATATCAGTTGCCCCTCTATAAACATGTACATCCTGGAGCCTACCCATCAACCTTTTATCCACCAATACATAATCTAATAAACTACTTTCATTACGTGCTACATCATACCTTGTATATTTATTTATCCTCTTTTTCATAAAATATGTATTACTTATTACCAAATTTCTTTCTACACATAGCTCAATTAAAGGCTCCCCATTTACATTTACCCCTGGCACCCCAAATTTACCTACTACTCCTTCCATAACATTTTTACCCACTTTAGCATTGAAATCCCCAACCACCATTACTCTCTCACTTGATTCAAAACTCCCCACGCATTCACTCAACATTTCCCAAAATCTCTCTCTCTCCTCTACACTTCTCTCTTCTCCAGGTGCATACACGCTTATTATAACCCACTTTTCACATCCAATCTTTATTTTACTCCACATAATCCTTGAATTAATACATTTATAGTCCCTCTTTTCCTGCCATAGCTTATCCTTCAACATTATTGCTACTCCTTCTTTAGCTCTAACTCTATTTGAAACCCCTGACCTAATCCCATTTATTCCTCTCCACTGAAACTCTCCCACCCCCTTCAGCTTTGTTTCACTTAAAGCCAGGACATCCAGCTTCTTCTCATTCATAACATCCACAATCATCTCTTTCTTATCATCTGCACAACATCCACGCACATTCAGACTTCCCACTTTGACAATTTTCTTCTTCTTATTCTTTTTAGTAATCTTTACAGGAAAAGGGTTACTAGCCCATTGTTCCCGGCATTTTAGTTGACTTTTACAACACGCATGGCTTACGGAGGAAAGATTCTTATTCCACTTCCCCATGGATATAAAAGGAAAATTAATAAGACCAAGAACTATTAAGATAAAATCAAAGAAAACTCAGATGAGTGTGTATAAATAAATGTGTACATGTATGTGTAGTGTGACCTAAGTGTAAGTAGAAGTAGCAAGACATGCCTGTAATCTTGCATATTTATGAGACAGACAAAAGACATCAGCAATCCTACCATCATGTAAAACAATCACAGGCTTCGTTTTACACTCACTTGGCAGGACGGTAGTACCTCCCTGGGTGGTTGCTGTCTACCAACCTACCAACCTGCAATAAAAACTTCCCTAACTTTATCTAAATACTGTTCACATATATGCTTCAATGTAAACACTTGATCTACACATCCCCTACCCACTCTGAAACCTCCTTGCTCATCCGCAATCCTACATTCTGTCTTACCTCTAATTCTTTCAATTATAACCCTACCGTACACTTTTTCTGGTATACTCGGTAAGCTTTCTTTCAACACACCGGCCATATCCCACTGAGGTGGGGTGGCCCAAAAGGAAAAACAAAAGTTTCTCCTTTTACATTTAGTAATATATACAGGAGAAGAGGTTACTAGCCCCTTGCTCCCGGCATTTTAGTCGTCTCTTACAACACGCATGGCTTACGGAGGAAGAATTCTGTTCCACTTCCTCATGGAGACTCGGTAAACTTGTTCCTCTATAATTTTTAAAATCTCTCTTGTCCCCCTTCCCTTTATATAAAGGGACTATACATGCTCTCTCCCAATCCCTAGGTACCTTCCCCTCTTTGATACATTTATTAAACAAAAATACCAACTGCTCCAACACTATATTCCCCCTGCTTTTAACATTTCTGTCATGATCCCGTCAGTTCCAGCTGCTTTACCCCCTTTCATTCTACGTAATGCCTCACGCACCTCCCCCACATTCGCATCCTGTTCTTCTTCACTCCTAAAAGATGGTATACCTCCCAGGCTTTTATTTTACATTCACTTGGCAGGTCGGTAGTATCTCCTTGTGTGATTGCTATCTACCAACCTACTTCCTAGGTATCCAGATACTCATTACTGGTAAAACAGTGATACATAATTGTCAGCAGCATCCAGACACTCATCACAGGTGAAACACACTGATATATAATTGTCAGCAGCATCCAGACACTCATCACTGGTAAAACATAGTGATACACAATTATCAGAATCTGGCCTTCATCCAAGTTTCCGGTAACCACAGCTTGCTTCTCTAATTTGCTAAGTAGCTAGTGTGTGTGTCACCATCTGAAAAGTCTTCTTGCTGAACCTTTAATGTGAGGCAAACTTTTTATTACAAATATACAAAGGTTTCAGATATCTAATATGTAATTAATTTGCCTGTTAACACAGTTTCTTTTTTTTTTTTCAGTGTCGGAAGGATTAAGAGAAATAAAATCACTGGTCGTACCTGAAGTCTTCACTACAAGAATAAACAGTGGGGATATTATATACTCCATGGTGTTTAAGCCTCATAAGTTCTCCCCAGGAAGAAAATATCCCACTGTTCTCTGTATATATGGTGGACCTCAGGTTCAGCTTGTCACAAATACTTTTAAAGTTAGTAGATAATTCCTCGGCAAACAATCTGTGCCAGTATTATATTGTGTGTCTATACGTATATGTATGATAACATTTATGAAAGGATTTAGGGAAACCAGTTAGCTGGACTTGAGTCCAGGAGGTGGGAAGCACAGTGCATGCACTCTGAAGATGGGGTGGGGATATTTGGATTTTTGAACTGTAGTATAGGTTTCCCTTTGGCAAAACAGTGATGGTGATAGTATTTCTTCTCTTGGGTTACCCTGCCTCAGTGGGAGGTGGCTGGTTTGTTAAAAAAAAAAAAAAAAATGTACCCTATACTTTTTTTTTTGTCTGTGCCCACTTTTTTTCACATGAAAAAAATTAAAATACAAGTGCCTGAATTATATCCTTCAATTTTGGCAAAGATGTAAACAAAAATTTGAGCTTTGAATTAAAAGAAATTTGGAATACTGTATATTGTTTTACAGCTACTATTTCTCTAACAGGGTTTTAGACATATGCGGACTCACATGCTTGCTGCTCATGGATTCTGTGTGGTCAGCATTGATTCCCGAGGCTCCGATAACCGTGGTGTTGGCTTTCAGGCTCATCTGATGAACAGAATGGTATGTGTACGTAAAATTTGTTAGTAAAAAACTAGATAGGTGCATAAAAAGTTCTTAGTTATGTTGGGCTAAGTTCTTTCCAGCAGATCATTGTCAGTCTTGTTTGAAAGAAATGGGAGATTATAGATATTAATGGAGTCGACCTGGAGTGTTCTGAGGGGAAATGCCCCTATGGCCTAGTCTCAGAGTAGGCCTTTCGGTGGATGACCTGATCAACCAAGCTGTTAGTGCTTGTTGCATTAAGTCCATCATAAACACCAGATGATCAGTCAGTGACTTAAGAAATTTGTCCAGTTCTTGAAGACAGCCAGGGGTCTGTTGGTAATCTCCCTTATGTATGAAGGGAGGATGTTGAAAAATCTTGGTTCCTTCACACTTATTGGGTTTTCCTTAACTGTACTTACTGCATCCCTGCTTCTCATTAAGGTATTTTTCACTGTCGGCCGACCAGGCTTCTTGCTTTTATTGGGAATGATTTGTGGGAGCAGATTTGGTACCAGTCTTCTGTGAATTTTCCAAGTGTAGATTATAGTATAGCTTTCTTGCCTTTGTTCCAGGAGTACACATTGAGGGACTTAAAATGTTCTAAGTAATTTAAGTGCTTAACTGAATCTGCAAGCAGTAAAGGTTCTCTGCACATTGGCCACGTCTGCAATTTTGTGTTAAAGTACAGTGGTACTCCAGTCTTGAGACAACAAGTATCATCATTGGCTTGGCATCTCTTGTTTTGAATGTACAGTGGACCCCCGCATAGCGAACGCCTTGCATAGCGAACAATCCGCATAGCGAACGCTTTGTTCGCTAAAATTTTGCCCCGCATAGTGGACAAAAACCCGCTCAGCGACCTTCGTCCGAGACGCGTCCAATGTGCGCCCTCAGCCAGCCTCACATGTGCCGCCCGTCCCATTGTTTACCAGCCAGCCTCCGCGGTAACATTCAAGCATACACTCGGAATATTTCGTATTATTACAGTGTTTTCGGTGCTGTTTGTGGAAAATAAGTGACCATGGGCCCCAAGAAAGCTTCTAGTGCCAACCCTACACCTCAAAGGGTAAGAATACCCATTGAAATGAAGAAAGAGATCATTGATAAGTATGAAAGTGGAGTACGTATCACCGACCTGGTCAGGTTGTACAAGAAACCAAAATCAACCATCGCTTCTATTGTGGGCAAGAAAACGGCAATCAAGGAAGCTGTTGTTGCCAAAGGTTTAACTGTGTTTTCGAAACAAAGATCGCAAGTGATGGAAGATGTTGAGAGACTCTTATTGGTGTGGATAAATGAAAAACAGCTAGCAGGAGATAGCGTCTCTCAAGCGATCATATGTGAAAAGGCTAGGAAGTTGCATGACGATTTAATTAAAAAAATGCCTGCAACTAGTGATGATGTGAGTGAATTTAAGGCCAGCAAAGGTTGGTTTGAGAGATTTAAGAAGCGTAGTGGCATCCATAGTGTGATACGGCATGGTGAGGCTGCCAGTTCGGACCACAAAGCGGCTGAAAAATATGTGCATGAATTCAAGGAGTACATAGAAACTGAAGGACTGGAACCTGAACAAGTGTTTAATTGTGATGAAACAGGCCTGTTCTGGAAGAAAATGCCAAGCAGGACCTACATTACTCAGGAGGAAAAGGCACTCCCAGGACATAAGCCTATGAAAGACAGGCTTACTTTGTTGATGTGTGCCAATGCTAGTGGTGATTGCAAAGTTAAGCCTTTATTAGTGTATTACTCTGAAACTCCCAGAGCGTTCAGGCAAAAGAATGTCCTCAAGGATAATTTGTGTGTGCTGTGGAGGGCAAACAGTAAGGCATGGGTCACTAGGGAATTTTTCTATAACTGGTTACACCATGCATTTGCCCCCAATGTGAAAGATTACCTAACTGAAAAGAAATTAGACCTAAAGTGCCTCCTGGTGTTAGACAATGCCCCTGGTCATCCTACAGACGTGGCAGAGCGACTTTATGGGGACATGAGCTTCATTAAGGTGAAGTTTTTGCCTCCTAATACCACTCCTTCCTGCAGCCCATGGACCAGCAGGTCATTTCCAACTTCAAGAAACTGTACACAAAAGCTCTGTTTCAAAAGTGCTTTGAAGTGACCACAGACACTCGATTGACTCTAAAAGAGTTTTGGAAGGATCACTTTAATATCCTCAATTGTGTAAACCTTATAGGTAAGGCTTGGGAGGGAGTGACTAAGAGAACCTTGAACTCTGCTTGGAAGAAACTGTGGCCAGAATGTGTAGACAAAAGGGATTTTGAAGGGTTTGAGGCTAACCCTGAGAGGAGTAGTATACCAGTTGAGGAATCAATTGTGGAATTGGGGAAGTCCTTGGGTTGGAGGTTAGTGGGGAGGATGTGGAAGAGTTGGTGGAGGAGGACAATGAAGAACTAACCACTGATGAGCTGATAGATCAACTTAAGAGCAAGAGGCCAGACCTGGGGAAACTGGTTCAAAGGAGGGGAGAGAGAAATTGAAGGAATTGCCTACTTCAAAGATTAAGGAAATGTGTACAAAATGGCTTGAAGTGCAAACCTTTTTTGATGAAAATCACCCTCACACAGCTATTGCAAGCCGTGCTGGTGACTGTTACAATGACACTGTTGTGAACCACTTTAGACAAATCATAAAGGAACGAGAGGTACAGGCCACTATGGACAGATATGTTGTGCGAAAGAAGTCCAGTGACTCTGAAGCTGGTCCTAGTGGCATTAAAAGAAGAAGGGAAGTAACCCCAGAAAAGGACTTGCTACCTCAAGTCCTAATGGAAGGGGATTCCCCTTCTAAACACTAACACTCTCTCTCCCCTCCTCCCATCCCATCAATCATCACCAGATCTTCAATAAAAGTAAGTGTCATGTAATTGTGCATGCCTTTTTCAGTTTGTGTGTACTAAAATTAACATTTTTTTGTGGTAAAAAAAATTTTTTTTCATACTTTTGGGTGTCTTGCACGGATTAATTTTATTTCCATTATTTCTTATGGGGAAAATTAATTCGCATAGCGAACATTTCGCATAACGACCAGCCCTCTTGCACGGATTAAGTTCGCTATGCGGGGGTCCACTGTATTAGTTATCCTGTCTATTATTATTCCTTGCAATTATGATAGTAACACTGTTGTAATTCTTGAAGGTGAAATCTGATATAATCACTCCCTAGTCTCTCTCAGGTCTTATGCTCTATTGAGTCATTCTAGTTTGTTTTATACAGTTCCAGTGCTTATTTCTTCAATCTTTCCATAACGGAGTAACTAAAACATGTTTTTATTGAATATCATGTTATCAGTGGCCCATTGGAAAAATTTGTCAGCTTAGAGGTTCGCTGTGTCCACAATGGCTGCCATTCTCATAGATTCTAGTGTTGTTTGCAAAGGATAATGTGGTTTTCATAAATAAAAATGAGAAATAAAACAGCAAGTACCATGTCTTCCATGTCTTGGGAAACCGTTTTTCACTAAGGCAACTTTTGATTTCACTATGCTCATCATTGCACTTAGGACACTATAAGTTAGCAAATTAAATGTCCATCTGCTCATTTTTCCAGCTATTCCTTTTGTATGCACTTTGTGTGCTATTATACTGTGATCATGCTTATTGGAGGCTTTGGCAAAGTCTGTGTATACAGTAGGCGGCCACTTACATGGCAGGTTAGGTTTCAGGCTTCTGCCGTCAAGCAGGAATCACTTTTAAGTGAAACATCACCTTTTTCCACTTATAAATGCATATAAATGTTAGATAACAGGTTTACACTAACATGTATTAAGTTAGCAATAGAACTTGGCATAAAAACACAACAAAAAGTAAAATACACACACAGTACACTAGTTACTTACCCTAAAATATTAATATGAATGTGTGAGAGGTGAGTGGCAGTGTAAAAAATTTTCCATGTCGGCAATAAGTCACTTTGACTTTTTTGGGTTATCCTAAGTTCTCTACACACACACTGCTATATGTAATTGTATTTGATGGCTATCTCAGCTATCAACATATCTTGTTAGCAAGTACAGTGGACCCTCGGGTAATGCCTTTAATCCGTTCCACTGATTTAGCCTTTGGCCGAATTAATTTTCCCCATAAGAAATAAAGGAAATACAATTAATTCGTTCCAGACACCCAAAAATATTAAACAAAATAATTTTTTTACCTAAAATATACATTTCCCTACACAGAAAACAGAGACATGCACAATAAACAATACTGAAATGACACTTAACTTTATTGTGGACTTGTTGATGAGTGATGAGATGGCACATTGTTGTTCTTGAACACTCTGGGACATGTAGGGAGTGTAGCAGGCATGTAGGGAGTGTAGCAGGCATGTAGGGAGTGTAGCAGGCATGTAGGGAGTGTAGCAGGCATGTAGGGAGTGTAGCAGGCATGTAGGGAGTGTAGCAGGCATGTAGGGAGTGTAGCAGGCATGTAGGGAGTGTAGCAGGCATGTAGGGAGTGTAGCAGGCATGTAGGGAGTGTAGCAGGCATGTAGGGAGTGTAGCAGGCATGTAGGGAGTGTAGCAGGCATGTAGGGAGTGTAGAGCATGTAGGAGGTAGCAGGCATGTAGGGAGTGTAGCAGGCATGTAGGGAGTGTAGCAGGCATGTAGGGAGTGTAGCAGGCATGTAGGGAGTGTAGCAGGCATGTAGGGAGTGTAGCAGGCATGTAGGGAGTGTAGCAGGCATGTAGGGAGTGTAGCAGGCATGTAGGGAGTGTAGCAGGCATGTAGGGAGTGTAGCAGGCATGTAGGGAGTGTAGCAGGCATGTAGAGTGTAGCAGGCATGTAGGGAGTGTAGCAGGCATGTAGGGAGTGTAGCAGGCATGTAGGGAGTGTAGCAGGTCATGTAGGGAGTGTAGCAGGTATGTAGGAGATGTAGCAGGTATGTAGGGAGTGTAGCAGGCATGTAGGGAGTGTAGCAGGCATGTAGGGAGTGTAGCAGGCATGTAGGGAGTGTAGCAGGCATGTAGGGAGTGTAGCAGGCATGTAGGGAGTGTAGCAGGCATGTAGGGAGTGTAGCAGGCATGTAGGGAGTGTAGCAGGCATGTAGGGAGTGTAGCAGGCATGTAGGGAGTGTAGCAGGCATGTAGGGAGTGTAGCAGGCATGTAGAGAGTGTAGCAGGCATGTAGGGGGTGTAGCGGGCATGTAGGGAGTGTAGCGGGCATGTAGGGAGTGTAGCGGGCATGTAGGGAGTGTAGCGGGCATGTAGGGAGTGTAGCGGGCATGCAGGGAGTGTAGCGGGCATGCATGGAGTGTAGCAGGCAGGCATGGAGTGTAGCAGACATGAAGGGAGTGTAGCAGGCAGACAGGCAGGGAGTGTAGCAGACAGGCAGGGAGTGTAGCAGACAGGCAGGGAGTGTAGCAGGCATGCAGGGAGTGTAGCAGGCATGCAGTGTGTGGCTGACATGCAGGGAGTGTGGCTGACATGCAGGGAGTGTAGCAGGCCTGCAGGGAGTGCAGCAGGCATGCAGGGAGTGTAGCCAGCAGTGGTGGCTGACATGAGGAGTGTGGCTGACATGCAGGGAGTGTGGCTGACATGCAGGGAGTGCAGCAGGCATGCAGGGAGTGCAGCAGGCATGCAGGGAGTGCAGCAGGCGTGCAGGGAGTGCAGCAGGCGTGCAGGGAGTGCAGCAGGCGTGCAGGGAGTGCAGCAGGCGTGCAGGGAGTGCAGCAGGCGTGCAGGGAGTGCAGCAGGCGTGCAGGGAGTGCAGCAGGCGTGCAGGAGTCAGCAGGCGTGCTGGAGTGCAGCAGGCGTGCAGGGAGTGTAGCAGGCGTGCAGGGAGTGTAGCTGACATGCAGGGAGTGTAGCTGACATGCAGGGAGTGTAGCTGACATGCAGGGAGTGTAGCTGACATGCAGGGAGTGTAGCTGACATGCAGGGAGTGTAGCTGACATGCAGGGAGTGTAGCATTGCATGCAGTGGAGTGTAGCTGCATGCAGGGAGTGTCGGCAGGCAGGCAGGGAGTGGCAGCAGGCAGGCAGGGAGTGTCAGCAGCAGGCAGCAGGGAGTGAGCAGGCAGACAGGGAGTGAGCAGGCAGTGCAGGAAAAATAGCAGGCCGTAGGGAGTTGCGACAGCGGAGTGTACTGACATGCAGGGAGTGTAGCTGCAGTGCAGGGAGTGTAGCTGACTGCAGGGAGTGAGCGGACATGCAGGGAGTGTAGCAGGCGCAGGGAGTGTGCAGCATGCTAGGGAGTGTAGCAGCATGCAGGCAGTGTAGCAGGCAGGCAGGCAGGGAGTGTAGCAGGCAGGCAGGCAGGGAGTGTAGCAGGCAGGCAGGCAGGGAGTGTCAGCAGGCGGCAGGGAGTGTAGCGGCATGGCAGGGAGTGTAGCATGGCAGACATGGGAGTGTAGCAGGCAGGCAGGAAGTTAGCAGGCCAGTAGGGAGTGTGCTGACATGCAGGGAGTGTAGCAGGCATGCAGGGAGTGTAGCAGGCATGCAGGGAGTGTAGCTAAACCCATGCTGCAAGATTTTAAATCCTTAACCCTTAACCCTTTGACAGTTTCGGAATAAATACGTCTAGGCAATGTTTCGACGTATATACTGCAATAATGCTAGCGGCTTCAAACAAGGACAGGAGAAAGCTGGTAAGCCCACATGTGAGGAATGGGCGTATGGTCAGTGGCCCAATAAAAAAGATCCTGCTGCACACATTGCGTAATGAGAAAAAAAAAACTGATCGTTTTTTTGGAATAAAACGTCGACTTTGAGGTGTATTTTTGTATAGTATTTATCGTTGTATTCGCGTTTTCATGGTCTTAGGTGATAAAATGGAAAACATATTACAGAAATAGAGATGATTTTCATTACTTTGACGATGAAAACGACCTTGAAACTGAGCTCAAAATAGCGGAAATGTTAGATTTTTACCAATGTTCAGGAGTAAATAAATCACACCACACGTCCAATACACGTCAACTGGGGAGTCTAATATTCTTTCACTAGTGCACTGATATTATTTATACCATTTTTACAATAATGCAGTAGTCTGCATAACAGTAAATTTTGTATTTTTTTGTATGAATAAAAAATCAAAATAGAAAGCAATAATAATATAAGAGGGGCCTAGAGATGTGACTAATGAACAGAGCATATGTTATTTTAGTGCCATGAATGTCTACCTTGTTTATTCTGGACCCTATTTTGAAATTGGCATCTTTTTTAGTTTGCGTGAAATTGGCCAAATTGCCAATTTCTGACCTCAATATTGGGTAGTCCAAATTAGTAAATGGGATGTTTCTTGTACTCAGCTGATAGATAAAATGAAGTTTTAAAGAAATAGCTATGAGTTTGGTCAACTGGAACAATGGAATTGGCTGAAAATAGGGCTCAAAGTCGGCGAAATCGCCAATACGCATATGTCGCCGAGACCGCTAACTTCGCAGGAGCATAATTCCATGAGTTTTCTACCAAATTTAGAACTTTTGGTGTCATTACCATCGGGAAAAGATTCTCTATCATTTCATAAGATTTTTTTTTTTTTTTTTTTTTTTTTTTTTTTTTTTTTTTTTTCTTCAAAAATTGAGTGACATAAATGACAGTTTCAGAAAGGGACCTGAAACAGTCAAAGGGTTAAGGGTTTCCAACGTCCTAGTACGGCTTACGCACCAGAGTTATTGACATAATAGAACGCCTAAATTCTTGCACCTTCAAATCTAGTGAGAGAAAACTGGTAGGCCCACATATGAAAGAATGGGTCTATGTGGTCAGTGTGCACAGTATAAAAAAATCCTGCAGCACATAGTGCATAATGAGAAAAATAAAACTCCGACCATGTTTTTGGTTTAAAACAGCGACTGCGCTGTATTTTCGTATGGTATTTATGGTTGTATTCTAGTTTTTCTGGTCTCATTTTATAGATTGGAAAACATATTACAGAAATTGAGATGATTTTGATTGGTTTCACAATGAAAAGTACCTTGAAATTGAGCTCCAAGTAGCAGAAATGTTCGATTTTTACCAAATTTCAAAAGTAAACAAATCATGCCACACGTCCAATACACGTTAACTGGTGAGTCTAATATTCTTTCACAAGTGCACTGATATTATTTATACCATTTCTACACCATTTCTACATTAATGCAGTAGTCTGCATAACAGTAAATCTTCTATTTTTTGTGAGAATAAAAATTCAAAGTGGAAAGCCAAAGAGATGTAAGAGGAGCCTGGGGACGTGACTAATGAACAGAGAAAATGTTATTTTAGTGCCAGGAATGTCTCTTGCTTATTCTGGACCCTATTTGGAAATTGGCATCTTCTGCAATTTGTGTGAAATTGGCAAAATTGCCAATTTCTGACCACTTTATTGGATACTTGAAATCAGTAAATGGGGGTTTCTTGTACTCATTCGATAGAAAAAATGGAGTTCTAGCGAAATAGATATGTTTTTTGTCGACTAGTACACTGAAGTTGGCTGAAAATAGCGATCAAAGTGGGCGAAATCGCTGATGCGTAAACATCGTCGAGACCGCTAACTTTGCAAGAGCATAATTCCCCAAGTTTTCCATTATGATCGGGAAAAGATTCTCTATCATTTCATAAGAAAAATAATTTTTTTTTTTTCCGAAAAATTTTCGACCTTGAGAACGAGTTTAGGAGAGGGCCTCTCGACCCTGAAAGGGTTAAAATCTTTCAAAGATTTTTATAATGTGAGATACCAGTGCTGTTTGTCAGTAGTTCTTTGCAATTGTACTGACACTTTTGTAGAATAGGGCTGTATCTTTTGTTTTTAATGACTGTGGGATGACCCCAGTATCTATGCTCTCTCTCCATAGAGTACTTAAGGCTCATGATAGGGGCTTCTTGCAGTTCTTCATAAACATGGAGTTCCATGAATCTGGGCCTGAGGCATGCTGATGAAATATAGGAATGACAGGAATGTTGCCTGCTGATTTTTAAGTGGCGTTCTTTGCCCATTAATGAAGGCAATCAGATAGACATGTTGTGTTGTGGTATGTTTCAAGATGTTACAAATGTATAGAATAAGTGGGTTACTGAAAGCAGTAAGGAACTTTTATATGGAAAGTCAGGCTTGGATTAGGGTAAGTAGAAGGGAGGTGGAATATTTTCCAGTAAAAGTAGGCCTTAGACAGGAATGTGTGATGTGACTCTGGTTGCTTATCGATATTTATAGATAGGATTGTAAAATAAGTGAATGCTAGGGTGTTGAGGAAAGGTGTAGAATTAAGAAGTGACTGAAATGACATAGGAATTCTCTTGGTTACTTTTCACTCACAAGAAGGGACAAAAGTTGGTGGAGGAATTTTTAAAGGTGTGTAAAAGAAAGAAATTAAAAGTGCATGTAAAAAAAAAAAGGGTAATGAAAAATTTCATGTTAGATTGGAGAGTGGTGGTATTGGACATATTGGCAGATACATTTGTGAAAGATGAGATGAACCATAGAATTGATAAGGAGGAAAAGATGGGTGGAGTGTTAAGGCGTGGAAGGAAGTTTATATATACGCAGTGAAATTCATGTCAGCATTGCAGATAAATTTAATTTTTGTCTTCACTGTAAATTTATGGTATGAGTTAAAAACTCGTAAATACATTTCATATAATGTACATCTTGTAAAAGGCTAAAATTTGTGTTCAATGAATGTCATAGAATTATCAAAGATGACAAGAGAATGTTTGTGCAGGGTACTGTAGAAATAGAGGATCAAGTAGAAGTGTTGCATTTACTGGCAAGTCAGTGTGATTACATGGATCTGAGCCGCCTTGCTGTCACAGGCTGGTCCTACGGTGGCTACCTCTCTCTCATGGCTCTGGCTCAGCGGCCAGATGTATTTAAGTAAGTTTCTTGTCAACTTTGTTAACAGTATCTGGTTCTGCTCTGAAGAACTTAGTTTCATAATTCCCTTCATGGGTTTTTCATATAAGATTTAAAGTTTGTTTTAGTTCTAGAAATTACAGTAGTGCATACCCCTTTTATAAACAGTAAGTTTTAGGGTATTAGGCTTATGCAAAAAAAAAAAAAATCCCCCTCCTCTTTTTTTTTTAAGATAGTGTACCTGTACTCAAGTCTAGATGTTTTCTGTACTTATATTGGGTGTCTTAAGTAGAGCAAGATTAAAGTTGTGGAAATTCATGTAAATGTTAACAGCTAACATGATAAGATCATATGAGAGAACTTACATAATTTTCAGATTTATTGTATCTTTGTCTCCTTGAATTAGGCTTGAAGATTTTATCTTTACAACTGAAGAATATTTTTAAGCCTTCATATTTGAAGATATCTTCATTGGGAGATAGTTTTGTGTTTAGAGTTAATGATAATGAATTGTTAAATTATGTTTTGTTTCAGATTCAAATCAGACAATTATTATTTTGTATCTGACAAAGACATAAGTGAAATGATTGTACAAAGAAATACTTTATGGTATGTTTTGCATTTTACTAGTACAGTGGACCCCCGGTTAACGATATTTTTTCACTCCAGAAGTATGTTCAGGTGCCAGTACTGACCGAATTTGTTCCCATAAGGAATATTGTGAAGTAGGTTAGTCCATTTCAGACCCCCAAACATACACGTACAAACGCACTTACATAAATACACTTACATAATTGGTCGCATTCGGAGGTGATCGTTATGCGGGGGTCCACTGTATTTTTATATTTTATGCATTGGGTGCATGTAATGAGAAGGGGGGGGGGGCCTACAGTGAGTTGCATCTGCATCAAAAATGCCTCTGCATTAGGCCCATCCTTGAGTATGCATAGTAGTAAAACAAGGTGTGCAAGAGCTGAGCATCTTTATTTTAGACATTAAAGCCACCCAGTTGTTGCTCCTGTCTTACTAGTCTACTTGTCAGTATTATATACCATGAATAGAATAATATGTACTAGTATGCCAAATACCCAGAAATAGTTACAGTAAAAAATGTTCTTTTATCACACTGGCTGTCTACCACCCAGGTAGGGCGACCCGAAAAAGAAGCTTTCACCATCATTAACTCACTGTCTTGCCAGAGGTGTGTAGATACTACAGTTCAAATGCATTCTCAAACTGCAAATATCCCCACCCCTTCTTTAGAGTGCAAGCACTGTACTTCCCACCTCTAGGACACACAGTAGGACCCCGTATCCATGGGGATACGTTCCAAGGACCTGCCATGGATACTGAAACCACTGATAGTAGGGAGCTCTGTGTATGTCCTATACGTACCTATTATAAGTTTAATTGATAAATTACACACAATAAATGGAGAATTATCACTTTTTACTGATGGGAAACACTTCACATCTTCTCTTAGGTTTTGAAAAACTTCCACCATCACTACTTTTGCACTTGGAGACCATTATTAAGCAAAATTAAACCTCATATGCAGAACCTGCAGATGTGGGGGTCCTACCATATATATTAAATGCAGGAATATATATACAGGGTTTAACTTGTAGTTTTAACAGTTTTTTTTAAATGTGTGAAAGTATTTTAATAACTCTTTCATAGTTTGTGTATACTGCTATATTTATTCTCAGTTAAGCACAACAGTACCCTCTTCACTGCTTAGTCTTCCCTACACTTTCAGCATCACAAAATCTGCAGTGGTAAAAATCTCATTGCTTTGTTTTCTCAGCCAGTTGTCTATTGTAGGTTTGGTGATCACATGAAGTTCTTCCCAGATATCTCAAGTAAATGTTTAGCTGTCGTGAGAGTGAAATGGCTAACATTTGCCTGTATTTTGAGACAAGAATTCTGAAAAGAATTAGGTCTTTTTAAACTTTCTAAATTCACAAAAAATTTCCAAACCTGTGTGGGTCATTCAGAAAAGAAATTAGGAAAGCCTTGTTTGACCAGTTGACATTGAAAAAAAAAAATGTAGTGGTGCAAACCCTGAAATAGCTCTTCCATCTAAAAAAGTAAACAGGGAAAATACGAAAGGTTAGAAAAGAATAAGGAAATAGATATAAATAATGGTAAAATATATTTGAGAGAGCACCTTCAACGGGGTGCATTGAAGGGGAGTTCTCTTGATTTGAGGAATTGAAGCAACCCTCTGCCTCAGATCAGATTGATTGCCTCCCATTCTATAGGCATTGTTTGGCCCTTCTGGGTTTGGAGCTTTATCATGGATGTAGTAATTGAATGGGCAAGTGGGTCAGATAACCAGGTGGTGGTCTTGTAGGAGCATCTCTGCTGGAACGACCATCTTTCTCTCTCCTGGGAGAATACTGCCAGTTTTAAATAAGATGAAAATTGTTTTCATTGATGTAACAGAGTGGCTATTGCTGGCGCTCCAGTTGTGTCATGGAGTTTGTATGACACTGGCTACACAGAACGCTACATGGACCTGCCCAGTGTTAACCCTGAAGGATACCGTAATGGCTCCGTCCTTTCCTACGTCAACAACTTACCTGATGAGTGAGTACATGCATGACCATACTTTTAACTGTTAATTAATTCAACTACTACTGAAACTCAAATACTGAATGTTCTCTCCTTTGAATTTCACAGTGATTTGTTTCCATATAAAATACTCATTAGGTTTAAAAAATTTTTGTGTTGTATAATAAAATATTTTGATTAGTTTTGTCTCCTAAGTATGATGTACGTACTGTAATTTCCTTTGGCACTTATTTAATGTAAGAATGAGAGCATGTTTAACTATGTTCTTTAAGATAATATAAGATTTGTTTGGACTTTTAACTGGGAGGGTTAGCCACCCAGGATAATTCAAGAAAGTCAGTGCGTCATTGAGGACTGTCTCTTATTTCCATTGTGGTCCTTCATACTTGTTCCCCAGGATGCAACCCACACCAGTCGACTAACACACAGGTACCTACTTACTCATAGGTGAACAGGGACAGCAGGTATAAGGAAACATTTCTAACACTTCTCCCCATGCCAGGGATTGAACAACAGACACTCATGTGAGAGGCAAGAGTACTGCCAACTGAGCCACAGGTCCCTTACGTTGTCATAGCTGTGCTATGTTCCCAGGTCACCATTGTCAAATCCTTAGTAAAGGCACATATACTATATTGCTGCAGTGTTTTGTTTGTCCCTAAAGTTTTCTCTCACAGTAAACAGGTGCTAATAAAGGTAGGCAGGGAAATGATATTTTAAATCTCTGTTGCCTTGCTGTGTTTAGGCTCTGCTATAAATATTGTACTCTAGTGAAGTTCTTAGCAGTATTTTTTTTAACGCTGCAATTTCCCACCAAGGCAGGATGACCCAGAAAGAAAGAAAAAACTTTAATCATTGTTGAACATTTTCACCATCATTCACACATAATCACTGTCTTTGCAGAAGTGCTCAGATGACACTCCAAACAAAACTAAAACTATTCATTTGTGCACGTGTGTGTGTGTGTGTGTGTGTGTAGGTGTAGGTGTGTGTGTGTGTGTGTGTGTGGATTAACCCCTTACCTGTTGCAACCCCAAATACTGAGGTGTCTTCTGTTGTCACAAAATTTGGAAAAAAAAATTATTTCTTACGAAATGATAGAGAATCTTTTCCCGATTGTAATGACACCAAAAGAATGAAATTTGATGGAAAACTAATGGAATTACGCTCTCGCAAAGTTAGTGACCTCGGCAATATTTACGAATTGGCGATTTCACCCAATTTGAGCCCTATTTTTGGCTAATTCCATTGTTCCAGTCGACCAAACTAATAGCTATTTCTTTAGAACTCCATTTTTTCTATCGATTGAGTACAAGAAACTGCCCATTTACCAATTTCAACTACCCAATAACATGGTCAGAAATTTGCAATTTGGCCAATTTCATGAAAATTAAAAAATACGAGTTTCAAAATAGGGTTCAGAATGAACAATGCAGACATTCCTGGCTCTAAAATAACATTTTCTTTGTTCATCAGTCACATCTCCAGGCCCCTCTGATATTACTCTTGCTGTAGACAGCCTGTACTGTCTGCACAGACAGCCTATGCTGTCTGCCAGCTTAGTTCATATTTCGCGGCATTCAGGTGCTGCCCTCTCCAGGCCTGCCCAGGTCAGTGGGATGCTGGTCCCACTCGCACTCTCTCACTCACTCACCGGCCTAGAAGCAGTCAATAAGTCCTACTCCGTCTCTCCCTCGTGGGATGATCCTCCCTAGCCATGGACACTCGACACACAAGCCTGTGTACCCACCATGACTTTGCAAAGCAAGAAGAGCCCTCCGCAGCCCTATAATTGACTTCACGCCGCCTGCATCACACAAATAATTCTGTTTCACATTGGTGGGAAGTGGTGGTCGCAGCAGTTGTGTTTGCCTGGAGAGAGGAAGGAAGAGGAATGAAGTTGTGTTCACTTCATCCCCCTACACAACAAGCATCCATCTCTCAACGAGTTATCCTTATGTCGTGTCTGCACGTTTGAGCATTCAGACACAGGTACAAGCAGGATCTAGTCGAAATTTGCCGAATTTCTTCGAGAATTGTAAGTGGCGTCCCAGTGACCCCACGCTGTTTCTCAAGTCACGTGTTCAGCATCACTTGTATGTTGTGCTGTTGTTGTTCAGCTCAGCACAGCTATTTCAGCAAGCCAGAGGTGAGTTTTGTGGTGATTTCTATGTCCAGTGTGAGTTTCTCCACGTGTTTGTGGAGAGAAGAGGAGGAAGTGGCCGTTCCTTGCCTCGCCCACGCTCGCCCTGCTGTACACTCACACCTCACCAGCCTCCCATACACCACCATGCCATCACTCCCTCTGCTGTGTTTTCTGCCATTTTCTGTGTGAATTCATTGCCAGAGCTGTGTATCCGAGTGCCCGAGGCCACTCGAAGCCACGTGCATCACGAAGCCATGTGGATCAGCAAGCCATGTGGATCAGCAAGCCACGTGGATCAGCAAGCCACGTGGATCAGCAAGCCACGTGGATCAGCAAGCCACGTGGATCAGCAAGCCACGTGGATCAGCAAGCCAGGTAGATCACGACGCCACATGGGTCACGACGCCACGTGGGGTGTGGACGATGTCACGTGGACCTACGAGCCATGCGAGTTGCCAGATGTCCCAGGCCACATGCTGTGGTCTGCTGCCCGCATCACATTGACGTCACCGATGCTGCTGCCTGACTTCATGACGTCACGATGTCTGCTGACGTCACCTCGAGATGTCTGCTGACGTCACCTTGCTGATGTCATGCCTGACATCACATGTCACATCGAGTTTTTCAGTAATTATGTCAGTATTATCGAGAAGATTGAGAGAAGATATATGTCGTGTGTTAATTAATTCCTCTCAGTCAGTGTTCTCACATGTTAGTGTATAGCTTAGTGTCAATTTTGTGCACAGAAAAGCATCATTTGCTAGTTTAAGCCATGTTGTACTGCATGTACCACGGGTGTGTGAAAAGTTTTCCGTGTGTCCTGTGTGGTCTTGAGCCCAGCTGTGTTGACCACAGATCTGCGGCCAGACCCCTGTGTAGCTCTTTGTTGCCTGTCACCCAGTGTGACCAGCGCGTTTGACAGCTGATATTAGTCATCCCTGAGCATACGAGCCCCTTTGTACAGAAAATTCTTATGCTCGTCGCTCATAGATGTTCTGCAGAATCGTACCTGCTACGATTCCCATCGAGATTTGTTTCACTTCACCTCCAGACCTTCAGAGTGCAGTTATATGTAGAGAAACAAGTCTGAGGACGCTTAGACTAACCTCTGCTATAACTCCAACTGCCGAGAGAATGACACTCGTCAAGCCGCAGTTAGCCCTGTTGGCAGGCGCTGTGTCAGCCTCGTGTCACAAGCTTCAGTGAGCAGCCTGCACAAAGATGATGTCACTTTGACTGCTAGCTCGCTCACTGCAGTCTGGTGTATGATGTTACGACTCCCAGATGTTTCGCCCAGTTGTCTCTGCTACGACTCACTCCACGCTCGCCGGCAGTGACAGCCCCAGCGACAGTACCAGTCGAGAAGTGTCCTCCTGAGTCGCTTGCCAGAAGTCCTGCCCAGTTGCCGAGTTTTGACGACGCCTCACTCGAGGGCACCAGCATGTCGTGCCCCAGGTTGAGTGAAACCTGCAGTGACTCCTACGATGACTGCTTCACCGTTCCAGAGGAGACCGTACCCCATTTCGTCACAGCTCGGCCGCAGCGATGTCTCCTGTGTTGCAGTATCTGTCCAGACACAGAAAGGCATGCAGTGATGCCCTTCGACGCTCACTGCCTATGACCACGATGTTTAGCACACCCCACATGTTTTTTCTTCCCTCCCTGTAGGAAGTTTTTTTTTCCATGTCCATATGTATATACATGTTTTTTATTTTGTGTTCTGTGCCCTGTTCCTACAAGAGAGAGACCGAGTTTTTTTACCACCAGTATTGTCGTGTCGGAACTACGCGAAGTAGGTGGCCGAGCGTATGTAGACAGCCTGTACTGTCTGCACAGACAGCCTATGCTGTCTGCCAGCTTAGTTCATATTTCACGGCACTCAGGTGCTGTCCTCTCCAGGCCTGCCCAGGTCAGTGGGATGCTGGTCCCACTCACACTCTCTCACTCACTCAGCGGCCTAGAAGCAGTCAATAAGTCCTACTCCCTCTCTCCCTCGTGGGATGGCCCTCCCCGGCCATGGGCACTCAATACACAAGTCTGTGTACCCACCACGACTTTGCAAATAAAGTAAGAAGCCTCTGAAGACGTCTATAATTGAACCCTGCTCCATTGCAGAATTACCAAATAATTTTGTTTCACATTGCTTTCTATTTTGAATTTTTATTCAAACAAAAAATAGAAGATTTACTGTTATGCAGACTACTGCAATACTGTAATAATTGTATAAATAATGTCAACCCATTCATGACTGCATATTAGAATGGCTACTTGGACATTTATTGGAAAATGACATCATTTGTTTACTTTTGAACATCGGCAAAAATCGAACATTTCCCCTACTTTGAGCTCCATTTCAAGGTTCTTTTCATAGTAAAACCAATCACAATCACGTCTATTTCTATAATATGTTTTCCATTCTATCAAATGAGACCAAGAAAACAAGAATACAACCATAAATACTATACGAAAATAGACCACAAAGTTGGCATTTTAATTAAAAAAAGTTGGAGTTTTTTTTTTCCTCATTATGCACTGTGTGCTGCAGAAATTTTTTTATATGGTGCACACTGACCACACAGACCCATTCTCTCACATGTGGGCCTACCAGCTTTCTCCTGCTTGATTTGAAGCCAATAGAATTTGTGGGTACTATATATACGTCAAAAACGGTGGCTCGTAAGATGTATATATATGACCAAAACAGTCATAGGGTTAATAATCACAGTAGGTTCATACTTTAATGATGAAAGAGAAGTGAGTGAAATTCTTAGACACACATGAATCAGTGTTCAGCATTCCATTAAATGAAAGCAGACTTGAGAATGCAGAAATCTTTTCTGTTACCTCTGAAAGCCACACAGAACACAACTGACATAACTTAAAGAATTTGAAAAAGAAATAGAAAGCATACTGATGCAGCACCTGGACTGGGTTCATAGATTCCTTATTTATTAAAAAGTGCAAAATTCCACTAGCATGAGCACTGGGTGTTCTTTGGAGGAAGCATTTAGAAATATATAGAATTCCAGAGACCTTAAAGAGTGTGGATATAGCTCTTTGCATAAAGGAGGCAGTAGACACTAGCCAAGAATTAATGTCACACACAGTCTTTGAAAAGGTGATGTGATATCATATTACAAACTTTATGGAGCAGCATAACCTATATAACTTGAACCAACCTGGATTTAGAGCAAGCTCACGTTTGTCACAGCTACTAAACCACTATGTTGGAAGAAAACCAAGCTGAATATGTTGTCTACTTGGATTTCACAAGAGCATTTGACAAATGTGATCGTGGAGTGATTGGACATAAATTGAAGGTGTTATGTGTAACAGGGAAAATAGTCAAATTAATTTTCAAATTTCTAACATGGCAAACAGAGGGTGGTAGTTAACGTATTAAAATCCAGCATTAGCAAAGTAAAAGGCTCAGTACCCCAAGTCACAGACCTGGTGCCTTTACTGTTTCATATCCTCATAGTAGTCATAGATGAAAAACCACTCGCCACATGTATGTATCATTTGCAGATGATACCAAAATAAGCATGAAAATCACTTTGGTAAAGGACATGAAAAAACTGCAAGAAGATATAAACAAAATCTTCCAGTGGGCAGTGGAGAATGACGTGACATTTAATAGTGACAAGTTCCAACTACAGTACTTAGATGTGGAAAGAATGAAGAGCTCTCGAGACACTGTATACAAAATGCAAGATCAAATACAACAAAATGAGCATGCGAGACGTCTGGGTGTAATAATGTCAATTGGCCTTTCTTTCAAAGAACACAATAAGGCAAATATCACAAAGGCCAAGAAAATGACAGGGTAACACACTTCAAATTGCTTATGTTCTCACATAGAGTATTGTTCAGTGTTGATGGATCCTTTCAAGGCAGGAGAGTTCAGAAGTAGAACACAGAAAGACCATATACAACCAATAAAGCATATAAATTACAGTATGTACTCACTGGAAGGTGCTTGAGGGCCTGGTAAGGTGCTTGAGGGCCTGGTAAGGTGCTTGAGGGCCTGGTAAGGTGCTTGAGGGCCTGGTAAGGTGCTTGAGGGCCTGAAGTGCTTGAGGGCCTCGTAAGGTGCTTGAGGGCCTGGTCTCAAAGCATCACACTGCCATAACATACTGAAGTGAGAAAAGAACGAAAAGGTACAGTACCGTGACTGGAGCAATACACAAATAACCTGCACAGTGAGTGTGAGAGAGTGAGTGTGAGAGAGAGTGAGTGTGAGAGAGAGTGAGTGTGAGAGAGAGTGAGTGTGAGAGAGTGAGTGTGAGAGAGTGAGTGTGAGAGAGTGAGTGTGAGAGAGTGAGTGTGAGAGAGTGAGTGTGAGAGAGAGTGAGTGTGAGAGAGAGTGAGTGGATGAGAGAGAGTGGTGTGAGAGAGAGTGAGTGTGAGAGAGAGTGAGTGTGGAGAGAGAGAGAGTGAGTGAGAGAGGTGAGAGAGAGTGAGTGTGAAGAGAGTGAGTGTGAGAGAAGTGAGTGTGAGAGAGAGTGAGTGTGAGAGAGAGGTGAGTGATGGAGAGAGAGAGTGAGTGTGAGAGAGTGAGTGTGAGAGAGTGAGTGTGAGAGAGAGGTGTGAGAGAGTGAGTGTGGAGAGGTGAGTGTAGAGAGAGTGAGTGTGAGAGAGAGAGTGGGGAGTGTAGAGAGAGTGAGTGTGAGAGAGAGATGTGAGAGAGAGTGAGTGTGAGAGAGAGTGAGTGTGAGAGAGAGTGATGTAGAGTGATGTGTAGAGAGAGTGTTAGAGAGATGAGTGTGAGAGAGAGAGTGAGTGTAGAGGGGAGTGAGAGATGAGTGTAGGAGAGAGATGTGAAGAGAGTGTTGAGAGAGAGAGAGTGAGTGTGAGAGAGAGAGTGAGTGTGGAGAGAGAGAGTGAGTGTGAGAGAGAGAGTGAGTGTGAGAAGAGGAGTGAGTGTGAGAGAGAGTGAGTGTGAGAGAGAGAGAGTGAGTGTGAGAGAGAGATGATGATAGAGAGATGATGTGAGAGAGAGAGAGTGAGTGTGAGAGAGAGAGTGGTGTGGAGAGAGAGAGTGAGTGTGAGAGGTGTGAGTGAGAGAGAGTGAGTGTGGAGAGAGAGAGAGAGTGAGTGATGAGAGAGATGAGTGTAGAGAGTGATGAGTTGAGAGAGAGAGTGAGTGTAGAGAGAGAGAGTGAGTGTGAGATAGAAGTGAGTGAGTGTGAGAGAGAGAGTGTGAGAGAGAGAGTGAGTGTGAGAGGATTGAGTGAGTGTGAGAGGTGATTAGAGAGATGTGAGTGTGAGAGAGAGAGAGTGAGTGTGAAGAGAGATGGAGTGAGTGTAGAGAAGAGGGATGTGAAGAGTGGTGAAGGTGAAGAGTTGTACGAAGTGAATGTGTAGTAGAGAGTGAGTGTGAGAGAGTGAGTGTGAGGTGAGAGAGATGAGTGTGAGAGGAGTGTGATAGTGTGAGAGAGGGTGTGATTGGTTCTGAAGGTGTAGAGGTTGTACAATGATGTGCCGACAGCCTAATGGCAGGGGCAAGCCCTTTGACAAGGGCATGGTGAATGCTTCAGTCAAGTGGCAGTAGCAGTTAGCTACAATCGCTGGAATTCCCTGTAGTTTGAGCACAGCATGTTTTAGGTTCAAGTGGTGTGAGGGCTGGTGTTCTTGCTGGTGTGAGACTTCAACTCTCTAAAGCTCTGCTCCACCAGAGCCACCCCTGGCACACAGGCCACAACCCCAGTGCCAGAGTCACTCAGGAGATTCTCTGGTAGTTCCTCATTGTCAGACATATAAAATATTGCAGAGTAGAACATAGAATTGTATTACAGAACACTTGAGCATTCCAACACTCCATTAAGTACTTACAACACATCACAAACCCACAGCCGTCCATCTCAGCCCAGTAGGTAAACCTCAACCCTTCACACACTTCTATGTTAGTAAGCAGCAAATAGAAATGGAAGCTAAGATACTGTGTTTAATATTATACCTAGTAGAATATTTAAATACATACAAAAAATGTTAAGCAAATTTAGACACCTGGAATGTAGCTCCATTCTTCCCATATTCTTAAGAAGTTTTTGTAAGTGTTGATTTCAGGAATGAATTGCATGCATTATGAGTGTTGATTATAAAGTAAAATGTGGTAATTGTATTTAAGTTCCTCATTGGCTAGCATTACCTTATAATTATGAATTCCTATTTTAGGGAAAACCGGTTACTGATTGTTCAAGGGATGATCGATGAGAACGTACATTTCTCTCACACAAACCAATTAATTCAAGCCCTTATTAAGGCAGGAAAGCCATACCAGCTCCAGGTTAGTAGTATTTTCATCATTTGATTCCAATCTGAATGCTGAATTAGGAGAATTTTAAACATAAGTTTGTAAGATTAATTCTGGGGTGAAAAAGAGCACAGCCTTGAATGTATGATTAGATGCATTCAAATTTATATATGTAAGTAATTTAAACAAAGTAAAATAGATTTGCATAGATGTTGCTTTTATATATTGTTTTATGTACAGTATACATATTACGATTTACATTTGTTTTTGCTAAATTAATAATACAGCTTTATATGAGTAAATAGATTAATTTTAGTTTACCAAGTTTCTTCTTGTTAACTTGAAGCAAACTTGTGCTTGATGATCAATTTTCCTTGCAGATATACCCCCACGAGCGCCACTGTTTACGCCAGTTGGACTCTAATGAGCACTATGAGACTAAGCTACTCTCCTTTCTGTTGAATAATCTATGATGGAAATGGAACTTAGACTTTGAAATGTTTGTGTTATATCACCAAATTTGTTTGACAGCATCTTGGTTTGTTGGTTGTTTTGATGTTCATCCAATATGTAACTAGTGCTTGATGCTTTTTAGAAACAGGCAAGACAACCAGTGCAAGCAGTGTCTTCACCACATTGTGGAGTGTATGAAATTTTGCATTAAACAATAACCCTGATGTTAGTGAAGCACAAGACTCTGGCAATGCCTGTTGTGAATAACACTTGAAAGTTATTTATGCCAGCTGATGTGCTAACCAAAAGTATTGGAATAGTATGGAAGTTTTCCCTGTTACGACAGTGTTGTAATTTAAGGTGAGGTAAGCCAAATGTA